ACATTCAGGCAGTAATTATAACTTGGTGAAGCCCCCAACTGCCCTTTGTCTGTACATTGCTGGTTTCGAAGGATTCTCTTCGGTTAGGAACCAAAAATAAAGAAACAGAGAGAAAAACAAAGAAATGAGATTAAGAGCTAAGGGTAGGAGATATCAGAGAGTGATGTCTTTGGCATTTGTGTCCAGAAGATGCCACTCATGATCTCTCCCAACGCTAACCAATGGCTCCCTCTCCCTCTCTCTCTCTCTCTCTCTCTCTCTCTCTGACAAGCGTTGTCATTGAACCTAAGCCTAAGTCCAAAAAGGAAGAGTGTTACGGACCAAATTGTTGGACCGAACGGACGAGATTAAGAGCTAAGGGTAGGAGATATCAGAGAGTGATGTCTTTGGCATTTGTGTCCAGAAGATGCCACTCATGATCTCTCCCAACGCTAACCAATGGCTCCCTCTCCCTCTCTCTCTCTCTCTCTCTCTCTCTCTCTCTCTCTCTCTCTCTCTCTCTCTCAATTATTTGACCAAAATAAAAACACATGACCCATGTTTTTGTTGCTTAGCTGTTGGAACCGCATAAACCGTGTCTTCTCCTTGTTACCATTACTTTCTTCTTTTGCCTTAACGACACCAACCAAAACTCTCTCTCTTCCTCTCTCTCTCTCTCTCTCTCTCTCTCTCTCTCTCTCTCCGGAGAAGTATGCAGAGAAACAACCGCGTAGCCGACGCCAAATCCTTCAACAACATGATCGTTGCTCCGGCGTTACCATCAGCCGGAGTTTTAGGGCTTATGAACAAAACCGCTCAACCGCAACCGCAAACGCAAACGCAAACGCAAACGCAGCAGCCGCTGAAATGTCCGCGTTGCGATTCGTCCAACACCAAGTTCTGCTACTACAACAACTACAGCCTCTCCCAGCCTCGGCACTTCTGCAAGGCTTGCAAGCGGTATTGGACGAGAGGCGGCACTCTCCGCAACGTCCCCGTCGGTGGCAGCTGTCGGAAGAACAAACGCGTTAAGCGTCCGCCGACATCTTCCGTGTCGAATTCATCGTCTCTCGACGTTTCGTCGAATCCGACCACTTCTTCGTCCACTCCGATCCCTAATCCTCAGATGAATCATTTTCCGTCGAACGGTTACGTCAATCCTTTGCTTTTTGGGTTATCAGATGCGAGTGGTGGTAATAATTTTCCGATGATCTCGAGCAGGTTTGGTAACTCAAAGGGTTTTGAGAGTGGGTTTGGGTTTAGTGGTTTTAGCGATCTTGGATTAGGGTTTCCGCAAATAGCTGACAGTATGGGTGAAAATAAGCCCTTTTTTTCGGGTTTATTGGGGTCGTTGTCTTCTTCACCCACGCCTTCCATGGCTGCTCTTTTGGCTTCTTCTACTTTTCACTCGCAGAAGCTCGTCGATGGAGGTGATCACATCCCGAGAAACGGTGAGATATTAGGACAAAACCATTTCCAAACCCTAGCTTCACTTCAAGATTTGCATGCCGGGGGCAACAACAATAACAACGAAGCTGCAATAGTGATGAACAAAGAAGTGAAGCTTCATCATCAGATCTCTGGGTATATTGCGTTATCATCATCAGATCCTTCAAACTTCAATTCAAATGTTGTTGGGACTTGGCTTGATCCGACAACTAATGTTGGGTCCTCTCTCACTTCTTTGATTTAGTCCAAAAAAACACAAAAACCCTAATGTTCTCTCTCTTCTTCTTTTTTTTCCCCTCCCTCCTCTCTTTTGCCTCTAAGTTTAGATAATGATATCTATCCAGGTCATCTTCATCACTTTTTTTTTTTTAATTTTTTTTTGGTGTTTGGGGCTAAATGGTAAAGTTGAGATGAGAGAAGAAGGCTGGATCAGAGAGATCAAATCCATGGTGCAAGAAATTTCAGCCACTCGAAGATTTTCATTTTGGGGAAAAAATTAAAGGGTGAGATCTAAAGATTACTGTTCTTGGCACCATAGAGCTTATCATCCTCGGATCCTCTTCATCTCATCATCTACACCTTGATTAATCAAGAACAGCATAGAGAAATAATCTTGATTGGTCGGTCCATGGTTCTTTTTTACTTGTAAGTTTTTAATCAAGGCCATTATATATGTATATATACGTACCGTCTTTTGGGTTTCAATCTATGTATTGGTGTTTATGCATTGGGGCTTATTGGGGGGTTGTGTATCGTTTTTGCATTTGGCTTTGGTGTGTGTTTTCATTGGGATTTATTGGTATAATTGGTATACACGGGAGGGGAGGGGGGTCGATTGGTTTCTACAAAAACTTTGGGTAATTTCTTAATGGATTGATGTATTGCAAAATATTCCAATTGTGTATTCTCTTTGATATTAAGAATTTTCTATTTAAGAAAAAAGAAATTATAATTATATATCTATATAAAATTCGCCCGGATTATCAATAATAAAACAAACCAATTGACTTGCATTCTACCAATGTACTTCCGAAAACATTTCATTGGAATTTCCGAGAAGTGTGATTTGATCTTCCTTGGTAGACAAAGAGGCAATACCTAAACCCGACAAACCAAACAAGACAGACACACATACATACATACATACATACATACATACATACATACATACATACATACATACATACATACATACATACATACATACATACATACATACATACATACATACATACATACATACATACATACATACATACATACATACATACATACATACATACATACATACATACTGGTCGGGTCGTCGCCATGAATATTACGTACCGATTTGTATTTTAGTTATTTGGATGCGAATAACAGGAGAGATGCAATCATTTGATTGAGAGAATTTTGCAATTACGTGGATATATTTTTCCAATCGAGGAACCACGTTTTGGTCCCGGACTTGTATTTTAGTGTGATGTCTCTCCCATGGCACGATACCATTTTCCGTTTCTTCATATATTTTTTTTCTATGCAATATTTTTTTTTGTTATAACTTAGAAGTTGCATATGGATTGACTTAAAAAAGTTTCCTTGAAGTTTCTTCCAATAAGATACGGAAAATTTTTTGTATGAGTTTTCTAATAATACGCATGCATACGTCCATTACACATACACGTGTATATGTTGACGCAAAAAAAAAAACATGTATATCCAATATATGTGACTATGTGTGTATATAACTAGTTCAAAGAATAATAGAATTAGAAATTTGTTTCAAGTTTTGATTTTTTTAACAGAATTTAAACATTGTATTTTTCTATTTTACTATGTTAATGGACAAACACAATTTTATTTTTAAAAAATATTATGTACAAAATAATTATTAATATACTATCCAAAGTTTGGGGGCTAGTGGTAAAAGACCATACAAAATATGTTTTTATTGCCCATGTTCAAATCCAACTTTGGGGAGGAGAATTTAGATAAATAAGAATTTATCTTTGACAATAGAATTGACTTTAGATTTGAGGAGATTAGTTGAGTAAAAAGTTTAGTGAATCTCTTAGTTATCTAAAAACAAATCTTAATAGTTTAACAAAAAAAAAACAAATCTTAATATATTTTATTATAAGGACAAATAATAAAATTAAAATATGGCTTATTTTTAAAAATTGTGTTCCTATAGCAGATGATTTGATTACTATTTAAATTATATCATCATATATTTAAATGATTTTCATCCTTTTTGTTTTTAATTTACCAGTGGCATTATAATTTACATCAAAGCTTTTATCACTTAAGTCTCAACTATCTAACTTATTAAACAAATCTATTATTTAAAATTTTATAAAAAATCATCAAATATTAAAAAACGTCAATGATTTAGCTTATTAAAAATGTTTTAAATTTATAATAAAATCTATTAAATTCTAATATTAATAAAAAAAACATATTTTTATTTTTAAAAATATAATTTATCTCTTATATAGCTAATTTATATACAAATTATACACTATATAATATTTCATTTACTATCTTTTTAAAAAAATATAGTTTAAAATATCTCAAATATTAATATATAATTATGGATTCAATCAATAACTGATATTTTTAAAAGTTTTAAGAGATAAAATTTGTGATATAAATTATTTTTTATAGATTTAAAAGATTGGTTACCGGTCAACAACGAGTCCGATAAATATATTTTCCTTTATCATTAATTAGTTTCATTTTATATGGTATCCAAGCAAAACTTTGACGCGACTAATCATTTGAAACCGATGCGAGTAATTATATTTGACATAAGGATATTATAAATGGTAAGAGCTAAAGAAAACACCATATTTTCTTATGACATTAAATAGGTTTTGTTTAAATGGTATCCGAGTTTTTGACCCGACTAATTCTTTAGATTTGATGTTATCAATCTAGATCAAACTTTGGAGTACTATAAATAAGAGTGAGTGATATACAAAGCTAAAACACAGAACAAGATTTGAAGATGTTTTTTCTCTTTTGTTCTGGTTTTTCACCTTGGTAAAACGATCGAAAAGATCGATAAACCTAAACAAAAGATCGATATGAAGAAAATCAACGACATTGAAGACAGGACAACAACAATGTCGAAAAATCGGCCGAGGACTTTCAAGAAGGTAAGCAAGTTAGTATTCGTATATGTATCATAAGTAGACAGAAGAAACAAAACTAGGGTTCTTGGATTTGAACACACACTCTAAGCAGTTTTCCACAACTTCATAACCCAACCTCCGTTTGAAAAAATTTCAAAGCCCACGATGATTAAATTGGGCCTACCAATAAGCCCAATTATCTATGACAACCGGCCTGATTGATCCCTTAACACTTTTCTTTTTTTTAAAAAAAAAAGAGAAAACAAATAAAGTTAGATTTTCCTTTAAAAAAAATATAGATAGAAAGTTTACTAGAGTCAAAATTATTTATTAATTTTAAAAAAAAGGGATATTTATTACTGAAAACAAATTAATGGGGCAATAACTAATTTGTTAGGAAATAATAATAATGCCATATAAGAATGTTGAACAAAATTATTTTGACTACAATTACCTAAAGAGATAAAATAACGAAGACCAAAATATTAATAACAATCTATCATATTGTAAATTATTTAGTTGCTTCATATGTCACGTATCTATATTCCCTATAAATAGATATGCAGATATGTTCCATGCAATTTCACAACCAAGAAAATAACTTAAATTAATATTATAAAAGCAAAAATTCTTTTTTTTTTCTATTCAGATTCTTATACTAAAACAATGGCCGGGAAAAAAACAAAAGGCAAGCAAAAGATCCTAATGAAGAAAATCGAGAACATGGAAGATAAACTGAGCACGTTCTCGAAAAGACGATCAGGGATCTACAAGAAGTTCAACGACCTGATCATCACATGCAATGCCGAAATCGGGTTCTTGATGTTCACAGAAGCCGACACACCGTTTTCGTTCGGGCATCCTTTGATTGAAACGGTCTGCGACAAGCTGAGGAACCCGTTACCCCCACGCGCCAAAACCGATACCGACTCTCTGGCTGATGCCCGCGAAAAGCAGCGTATCGATCGTCTGAACGAAGAGTACGAGAATCTTCTCGGCGAGTTGGAAGGCGAAAGAGAACGGAGAAAAGCGTTGGAGAAGCTGTCGGAGGAGAAAAAGATCGAGGAATGTTGGTTCAAGGCTCCGGTCGAGAAATTAAACGGAGACGAGATTCAACTCATGCACGACACGTTTCTTGAATTGCATGATGCTTTGTGCGATGAACTCTTTAATCGTTTAAGCCTAAACGATGAAGGCACTTCGTCCATTCAATAATAAGAGTTTGTTGTTAAATCTCATTTTTTTTTTCTTTCTTTTCTTTTTTGTAATTTAATTCTCTAACAATGTAAGGTTCAAAGTGGTGTTGGTTGTATATTAGCCCTATCTTAAGATTAATATGATAGAAATTTTATTGCTTATGTTTAATTCATTTCGGTACAACAAAAGAATTCAATATACTTCATAAAAAAATAATTCAATATATATAAGAATCGGAAAAGTTCGGTAATGTCCATCTCCACGTTTAGTGTAACGATCCGAGGCCGTTACGGAATGATAGAGCTGTCCCCACACACCAACACGGGACCTTTTAGCGTGCTTTGTCCTCACTCGCACACTTCCCGGAAAGTACTTCCCAGTAGGTCACCCATCCTGAGATTGCTCCAAAGTCAGCACGCTTAACTTTGGAGTTCTCTCGGGATAGTCAACCGAAAAGGTAGGTGCACCTTGTTGCTATGAGTAGCTCAACTAATTCTTTTATGTTATCTTAGACTGTATAGTCCCATACCTATACAACCCTCGGATCTCTCTCATTCCAGTGTGTTCGATTCATCCCTATACCCCCTACCCAGAAGTTCGTCAGGAGCCGCCCCTTGTCCGTGCCTCTGCACCGGCGATCACTCCCCGCCCTCCTACGGTACTCTGGGTTGTCACACGGTGCGTCCGCTTCATCCATGTACCCCCTACCCAGAAGCTCGTCAGGAGCCGCCCATTTTCCATGCCTCTCGCACCGGCGATCACTCCCCGCCCTCCTACGGTATCCTGGGCTGTCACAGGCCCACCAGCTTCCGCCTGGTTCGTCCACGAACCACACCGTACTGGGAGAGAACCGGCTCTGATACCATTTGTAACGACCCAAAGTCCGGTATTTCGGATATCGTTGAATCGTCACTTGGGTTATATAAAAAAAAATCTGATTTATTCTAAAATCAACCATCAAAACCAGGCTCTAAAGCGGAAGTCTAAAACAATGAATTTCAATAACTTAGTCTGAATATTAATTTCATGAATAAATTGAATAAAGGAAATGGAAATTCTAAATCTTCGTCTTCCTGGAAACTACTGAATCCAACCAAAATAATCTGCTTCACCTTTCACCTGTGGAGAAAAAGGAAGGGGTGACCTGCGCGAATAGCTCAGTAAGGTTGCAAGACTATAAACCTCGCCTCCGTACCCGACATAGACAATCAAATAGAAAACAAATTCAATCAACATTCAACTCAAACAAAAATCAATCTATCGATTCACATTCTTCTCCTAACTTTTCTTTATTCGATTCTTAAAAACGAGTCCAAACTCTAGGACCATTCAATACCCCTCAGACTTAGTTTAAAACTCTTTTATAAAACAAAACCAAAAATATCTTTGTAACCCTCTACGGATCGTCGCCGTAGTCGGAGTTACCAAAACACAACCAATAGTAATAACCCTCTACGGATCGCCGCCGTAGTCGGGGTTATCACTCCACATGGATCGCTGCCATGCCCGGGTTGTTATCATACCATCACATATGGATCGCCGCCGTACCATGGTCTCAAAACTCACTAGCACAGTCTGAGGTCACATCCTATTCCCTAACTCAATTCTTTAATTCTCTCATCTTTCCAAACATCATGCCAAAGTTTATTTAATATCAAAAGTTCAACTCATTCTAACAGTCTAATAATCTATAAAAAAAAAACATCATCACATAACATGTACGTCATAAACCATAATCACTCAAGGGAAATTTTTTTTCATTCTTTTCTTTTTTTGTAATTTAATTCTCTAACAATGTAAGGTTCAAAGTGGTGTTGGTTGTATATTAGCTCGTATGATTAATTCATTTCGGTACAACAAAAGAATTCAATATACTTTATAAAAAAAATAATTCAATATATATAAGAATCGGAAAAGTTCGGTAATGTCCATCTCCACGTTTAGATTTGAATTCGGGATAATAATATGTTTTGTATATTCTCTTGCAATTAAACTATTCAAATATTGATTGATAAATTCAGATTTTTTCAGTCAAACCGAATTATCGACACAATTGTTATAGGAAAAAATAAATTTTATTAATCATATAAATTAAACTAAAAAAAGTATCATTTTCCATCAGTTTGGGGGTTGATGGTAAGAGACCATACAAAACATGTTTTTATTAACCGTGTTCAAATCTAATTTTGGGGAGGAGTGTTTAGATAAAATAAGAAATTATCTTTGACAATGGTTGGCTTCGGATTTGAGGAGATTAGATGAGACAAAAACTTAGTGAATCTCTTAATTATCAAAAAATAAATCTTAATATATTTTTTTATAAGGACAAATAAACAAAGGATTTGATTACTGTTTAAATTATATCATCACATATTTAAATAATTTTCATCCTTTTTGTTTTTAATTTGCAAATGGCACTAGAATTTACATCAAAGCTTTTATCACTTAAGTCTCAACTATCTAACTTATTAAACAAATCTATTACTTTAAATTTTATAAAAAAATCACCAATTATTAAAAAACGTCAATGATTTAACCTATTAAAAAATTATTTTAAATTTATAATAAAATCTATTAAATTCTAATATTAATAAAAAAACATATTTTTATTTTTAAAAATATAATTTATCTCTTATATAATCAATTTACATACAAATTATACACTATAATATTTCATTTACTATCTTTTAATAAAAAATAAAAAATGTAGTTTGAAATATCTCAAATATGAATATATAATTATGAATTCAATCAATAACTGATATTTTTAAAATTTTTAAGAGATAAAATTTGTGATATAAATTATTTTCCACAGAATTAAAATATTGATTACCAGTCAACAACGAATCTGATAAATATATTTTCCTTTGTCATTAATTAATTTCATTTTATATGGTATTCGAGCAAAACTTTGACGCGACTAATTATTTAAAACCGATGCGAATAATTATATTTGATATATGGATATTATACATGGTAAGAGCTACCGGAAACACCATATTTTTTCCGACATTAATTAGGTTTTGTTTAAATGGTATCCGAGTTTTTGACCCGACTAATACTTTAGATTTAATGTTGTCATTTAGATCAAACTTTGGAGTACTATAAATAAGAGTGAGTGATATACAAAGCGAAAACATAAAACAAGATTTGAAGATGTTTTTTTCCTTTTGGTATAGGTTTTCTCCATTCGTAAAACGATTGAAAAGATCGATAAACCTAAACAAAAGATCGATATGAAGAAAATCATCGACATTGAAGACAGGACAACAACAATGTCGAAAAATCGGCCGAGGACTTTGAAGAAGGTAAGCAAGTTTGTATTTGTATATGTATCATAAGGAGAGAAGAAAAAAAAACTAGGGTTCTTGGATTTGAACACACATCCTAAGCAGTTTTCCACAGCTTTTCATAATCCATCCTCTCTGTGGAAAAATATCAAAGCCCACAATGATTAAATTGGGCCTAACAAAAAGCCCAAAACTGGCCCAAATTGATCCCTTACACTTTTCTTTTTTTTTTAAAAAAAAAAGAGAAAAAATAATAAAGTTAGATATTCCTCTTTAAAAATTATAGATAGAAAGGTACTAAAGAGAGTCAAAATTATTTATTACTTGTTAAAAAAAGGGATTTATTACTGAAAACAATTTAATGGGGGGAAAAGCTAATTTGTTAGGAAATAATAATAATGCCATATAAGAATGTTGAACAAAATTATTTTGACTACAGTTACCTAAAGAGATAACAAATCATGAAGACCAAAATAATAATAACAATGTATCATGTTGTAAATTATTTAGTTGCCTCATATGTCACGTATCTATATTCCTTATCAATAGATATAAACATATGTTCCATGCAATTTCACAACCAAGAAAATAGCTTAAGTTAATATTATAGAAACAAAATTCCTTTTTATTCTATTCACATTCCTACACTAAAACAATGGCCGGGAAAACGACCAAAGGTAAACAAAAGATCCCAATGAAGAAAATCGAGAACGTGGAAGATAAACTGAGCACGTTCTCGAAAAGACGATCCGGGATCTACAAGAAGTTCAACGACCTGATTGTCGCATGCGATGCCGAAATCGGGTTTTTGATGTTCACAGAAGCCGACACACCGTTTTCGTTCGGACATCCTTCGATCGAAACGGTCTCCGACAAGCTGAGGAACCCATTACCCCCACGCGCCAAAAATGATTCCGGATCTCTGGTTGATGCCCGCGAAAAGGAGAGTATCGACCGTATGAACGAAGAGTACGAGAATCTCCTCGACGAGTTGGAAGGCGAAAGAGAACGGAGAAAGGCGTTGGAGAAGCTGTCGGAGGAGAAAAAGATCGAGGAATGTTGGTTCAAGGCTTCGGTCGAGAAATTAAACGGAGACGAGATTCAACTCATGCACGGTACGTTTCTTAAATTGCATGAAGCTTTATGCGATGAACTCTTTAATCGTTTAAGCGTAAACGATGAAGGCACTTCGTCTATTCAATAATAAGACTTTGTTGTTAAATCTCATTTTCTTTTTTCTTTTTTTTTTTGTAATTTAATTTTCTAATAATGTATGGTTCAAAGTGGTGTCGGTTGTATATTAGCCTTGTTTTAAGATTAATATAATAGAAATATTATTGATTTATGTTTAATTCATTTCGGTACAACAAAAGAATTCAATATATACACTTTATCAAAAAATAATAATTCAATATATATAACGTGAATTTATGTCTCAACCAAGAATGATTGTGAATATTAGACACCAATAAATTTCTAATTTAAAAAATAGATATTATTAGTATTATTATTAGGAAAAATCGCCAAAAAAATCTTGTATTTTTTAGATATCTACCAAAAACTCTATACTTTTTTTTTATGAAAAAAACCCTATATTTATGATTATTCGTCGAAATATACATATACGCTTTAGATGTGAGACAAAACCCTATATTTATACTAATTCACCGAAATATACTTATACTTTATAAATTCTAACAAATAAGCTCCTAAACATAAATGTTAAAAAAATACGGTAAAAAATCTGTCTGAATCTAACCCAACCGATATATAACTGAACCGATTAAAATAATATATTAAATTGGATATGAATATTTGAAATCCAAAATAACCGAATCGAACCCGACCGATATAAATCAATGATTAAATTAAAATAATGCATACTTCGTTTACGATTAATTCGAGTTCAGTTGATTCATTTTATAGTTAACTCAGATTCAGTTATTTCGAATTTGAAATATTTATGTCCGATCTGATATATTATTTTAATCGGTTCGATTCGGTTCGGGAATATATCGGTCGAGTTCGGACAGATTTTTGACCGCATATTTTTGGCGTTTGCATTTAGGGGTTTATTTGTTAGAATTTATAAAGTATATATATTTCGGCGAATAAATATAATTATAGGGTTTGATTGCTAATTAAAAGAGTATATGTAACGACCCAAAATCCGGTATTTCGGATATCGTTGAAAAGTCACTTGGGTTATAAAAAAAATCCGATTTATTCTAAAATCAGCCATCACACTACAAAAAAACAGTTATATAGCGACGGAAAAATCCGTCGCAAATATAAAGGAAATCCGTCGCAATTAAGAATTTGCGACGGAATGCGACGGAATTATTTCCGTCGGTATAACGCTGTCGCAAACGCATAACGGTCGTTAATCCGTCGCAAAAATGCGACGGAAAAAATCTGCGTTTTGCGACGGAAAGTGACGGATAATTCCGTCGCAATTTGCGACGGAAAAAATTCCGTCGCATTCCGTCGCAAATGTTTTTTTATTTTAAAAAAAAAATAAAAAAATTATATACTATATATACACATACATATATACATTTTCACATACATATACATTCATACACATACATTACACACATACAAATATACATACACATACATACATATATATATATACATATTTTCACATACACAAACACACATACACATACATACATATATACACATATTTTCATATACACAAACACACATACACATTCACACATATACACACATACACATATATACACATACATAAATACTCATACACATATACATTTCACAAACACA